CTTTTAAATCGGGGGGAATCAAAGTTGTATGAGGTCAGATAACTGTCAGAACGGCCCTGAATTGGGGAAATGAAAGTCAACAATATTAAGATATTTAGGATTATTTTTGTTCCCAGCTCATAGAAAGGTGTGACATCATTGGGGTTATTTTGACTTACGGGGGACGTAGAAAAAAAAACGTTGCACCATATTTGTTCAAAAATAGTGGCGGGAAACATAAAGCCTCCTACTGTTAATCGGAGGAAGTAAACACCGGATTCTTCCCCCGCGATCTGACTCACAAACGACTACGCATATAGTTTGAGCCTGTTAACTATTTAATTTTCTCAACTTTGTCGTCTAAAATTCACCTAAAGGTGAGAAATATTTATCACCATCTGATGAAAAGTTGACTATAAATTGAATTCCATTCAGCTTATTTCTATAGCTTCAATGCACATCAATGTCATCTCAATGCACTTTACAGTTCACCAGTCAGATTGATTCAAAGTTTTTATCTTAGGAAAACTAGTTGATTGCATCGACTCATTGACTCTTCAGCAATCCCTCACACTAAGCATGCTTGTAGCGACAGTGGAGAGGAAAAACTCCCTTTGAACAGGAAGGAACCTCGGGACATGTTAGGAGGAGCTGGAGGCGATGGGAGGTTCAGGTTGGTTCGTCTCCGTCTTGACAAAACACTTAAAATGGTCCAGGCCTCAAACATGTCCAACTAATCCAGCTGTGTTGATTTGGTCTGTCGTTTGGTAACATGGGCGGTTCTAGACAGGGGCCAACGGGGACCAGGGCTCCAGTAGATCATACCCTGGCCCCTGTTCTGAGGATATAATACTAAAAGGAATTGTAATGATGATCTGCGCTGGAACGGACATGGTTACTGATGGGTCCTTTGGATCTATTTCATTTCTTTCTTCAAAAAATTCTATTTACCTAATTATTTAAAAAGAAAAGTGGTATTGAGATAGGATCCCGGTTTTTATTTGCTAAATGTTTTTTTCAAAATAAAACAAAATACTCTAATTTTTACAGCTGAATTTATCAGTTTTTTATTCTAATTCTGATTTTATAGAAAACTGTAATTTTAACTTGAGTTAAAAATATGTAGAATTCCTAAATTATGAATGTATATTGACCTAATATTCCATATAATAGCTTTATTTTATCTTTTAGATATTTTTTATAGCTACGGGATTTTTATTTTGATTTTAACGATAATCCAAATGAATATTTTCAAGCAAAAAATAAATATTTTTTAGTAGGAAGACATAATTTTAATAAAACCTAATTGAATGGAAATTTTACTTCCTGCATCTCTCTATATATAATTGAATCCCTTGGCCTGTTTTTTTTTTTTTGTTTCATGCTTTTCTGTGACCCATGAAAACACGCTTCCCACAATCCTTCCTCACCTTTAGTGTCTGCGCCAGCTTTACTCCTTGTACATCTGCAGACACCTTTCAGCTCAACAGACTAACATAAAGTACAGCAGTTTACCTTTGACCTATTATCAATTTGTATGTTTTCCAGACTACATCACTGTCAGGGTTTGGTTGAGGTGTTGAGTACCCAAATGCAAGGGCGAGGAGGCAGAGGTGAGTTCTTGAAGATTTAATTGAATAACTGAGGTAAAAAATCCAAAAATAGACAATACATGGAAACAAAAACTAGACAACTTCATGGAGCCTGGGAAAGATGAGGAACCAGCACTGAGGAACTGCATTATATGGGAGACTGAACAAGGCAGGACTAATGAGCTGATTGGGAGCAGGTGTGAACAGAGGAGTCTAGAAGGGAGCTAGGGAAAAGGAGACCAGGACAAGAGGACAACAAAGAAACAGCTAAGAACTCAAACACATCAAGAAAACACAACAAAATAGGAATTAAACCAATAAAACTAGAAAAAAAGCAAAACATGAAAAATGAAACTGAATACTCAAAAGAAAACTTAACAGAACCAAGACCGTGACGATCACAAGAAGTCAGACATACAGCTTCTCTCTGGATTTTCTCTGTTTCATGGATTTGAATTCCTGCATTACATATGAACTAAATGTTTCTTCTCAGTTTTGCAAAAAGATTAATCTGAAAATGTAACTAAGTCAGAGTCTTCTAAGGGAACTTCTAAACCCTTTTCATTCTTGGAGTAGCCATTTAAAACATTCTTTCCTTGTTTAAGATGATTGTCTGTCTATCTTAACCTGACTGATGGATTCCACACAAAGATGGGTGGATTAGATTGGTGTTGGGCGTTTCTTTGCTCTCGTACATGTGAACTGGGTCAGCTCTTCTTAAAATACTCCCCTCTCCTCTGAGAAATGTTCCAGAACATCTAGCGTCTACGTATGCCAGGTCCCCTCTCTGCCTCCCACAATGAGATGGATAAACCAGCAGATGCTGTGAAACCAGAAACACTGGTCCTGGAAAATCTATGAATTAAAACATGTTGGAGATGGACGATTCTCTGCAGAGAATTGCTGCAATAAAATAGTAAGAAGGTCTATTTCAGAAATTAAAGATTATAAATTACAAAAAAACGTGTTTGCATTTTATTTGTTTATTAAGAGAATAGATTACCATAAATCACTTAATCATGTTTACAGCATTTTCTTCTCTTTGCAGCAATGAATGCAGTCAGGTGTTACTTATAACTGCTGATAACCTCACAGTGAGGTCATTGAGCTTTAGGGCCTCAATGAGGTTGTGCTACAGTATCTGTCATCCATCTTTACTGTGTTGTGGGAGTTTGTTTTGGTCTTGATGTCACAGTCTTGGTTCTGTTATGTTTTCTTTTGAGTATCAAGTTTTACTTTGCTCCATGTTTTCTAGTTTTAGTGGTTTAATTCTTATTTTGTTGTGTTTTCTGTTTTTTTCTCCAGGTTTTTATTTGTTGCTCTCTGCTGCCCTCTTGTGTTCTCTTTTTTCCCTAGCTCCTTTCCTGTCTGCTCTGTTCACACCTGCTCCCAATCTCCTCGTTAGTCCTCTCTTTGTTCTGTCTCCCATAAATACACTCTTTGTGCAGTTCCTCAGCGCTGGTTCGTCGTCTAACTTTCTCCAATTCCGTCTCACTGAGTCTTCCTCCTCGTGATTGTTTTCCCCCAGATGTCTCCATGGTTTCTGGTTTGTTTTACTTTGTTTTCATGCTTGATTTTTGGATTCCTGCCTCAGTGTTCTCTTTACCCTTCATTAAATCAACAATAAACTCACCTCTGCCTCCCTGCCTCTGCATTTGGGTCCACAAACCTCAACCCAATCCTGACACCTGCCTAGATTCCCACTCTAGTTCTGGCTTCTCAGCTCTGCTCCCTTCGTTTCTCGAGCAAAAACAACTTCTGCTGCTAAAGGGAGCTGGATGAGACTGAATCCTCTCCAAATATATCTGCCTCACTCTGTGTGCTGCTGTCTATGGAAGCCCGTTTTTCCCACTCTGTTGAAAATTAAAAATCTCATTATGGTTACTATCTCATTATTTTAAGTTACTATCTCATTATAATGAGATACTATCTCATTATTTTAATCTACTATCTCACTATAATGAGATAGTATCTCATAATAATGAGATACTATCTCATTATAATAGGCAAGGCAAGGCAAATTTATTTGTATAGCACAATTCAGTACAAAGACAATGCAAAGTGCTTTACATGATTAAAATACAGGAAGATAAAACAGAATAAAAGCAAGTAGGAAAAAATAAAAAACAAATAAAGTAAAATAAAAAATGCAGAAACAAAAAAAGAATATTAAAAACAGTTGGATTAAAGAAAACATGTTTTTGTTGAACTGTTTAACTAGAACAGTGGAAGGCAATCCTAAACAAATGTGTTTTTAGTCTTGATTTAAAGGAACTCAGGCTTTCTGCACTTTTACAGTTTTCTGGAAGTTTGTTCCAGATAAGTGGAGCATAGGAACTAAATGCTGCTTCTCCATGTTTAGTTCTGCTTCTAGGTATGCAGAGCAGGCTGGAGCCAGAAGACCTGAGTGGTCTGGAGGGTTGATACACTGATAGCAAGTCTGTGATGTATTTAGGTGCTAAGCCATTCAGAGATTTATAGACTAACAGAAGTATTTTAAAGTCTATTCTCTGAGATACAGGGAGCCAGTGGAAGGACTTTAGAACTGGGGTGATGTGCTCTACTTTCTTAGTCTTAGTGAGGACACGGGCAGCAGCGTTCTGGATCAGCTGCAGCTGTCTGATCCACTTTTTAGGCAGACCTGTGAAAACACCGTTGCAGTAATCAATTCGACTAAAAATAAACACATGGATTAGTGTTTCCAGATCATGCTGAGACATTAGTCCTTTAATCCTGGAAATGTTCTTCAGGTGATAGAAAGCTGACCTTGTAATTGTCTTTAAATGCTTTTGGAGGTTGAAGTCTGAATCCAGCACTACACCTAGATTTGGGGCCTGATCAGTGGTTACTAGCTGAAGCCACTGAAGCTGTGTGCTAACTTTAGATCTCTCCTCTATTGGTCCAAAGATTATTACTTCAGTTTGGTTTTTATTCAGTGGAAGAAAATTATGGCCCATCCAGGCATTGATTTCTTCTAAGCAATAAGATAATATCTCATTATTTTAATTTACTATCTTACTATAATGAGATAAGATAAGATACTATCTCATTATAATGAGATAGTATCTCATTATTTTAAGTTACAATCTCATAATAATGAGATAGTATCTCATTATTATGAGATTGTAAATTAAAATAATGAGATACTATCTCAATATAATCAGATAGTATCTCAAAATAATGGTATAGTAACTCATTATAATGAGATAGTAAATTAAAATAATGAGATCTTACCTCATTATGAGATACCAGGATACTGTCTGATTGTAATGAGATGCTATTTCATTATAATTAAATAATTCATTTTTCTTTCTTTTTTTACAGAGGATTCCATAAATGTAAACCTTAAAAAATCTGAGCGTCCCTCATTCTCTGCTCTAATTCACAGAGCGGTTTAAGGCGCCGCAGCGTTTCCTCCGTAAAGCCAGATGGGCTGCTGGCCCTTTAAGGATGATGCAGCGGGACCAGCTGATGTAGGACGAGCTGACCGTCCGCGCGCCCGCGCGCGCCTCCCCCGCCCGCTGCCCGTCCTCATCATGGCCTCCGCTCAGCCCACGGCACCGAGGAGCGACCGACCACCCAGCGGCCCTGCCCTTCCCGCGGCGGACACGGACGTCAGGCCGAAGCAGCGGCACCGGTAGAGGCGAAGCCGCCTTCCGCCCCCCCGCCCCGGTCTCCTCCATGCCTCCGTCCGAAGCCAAGCCCAGATATCCGACAAAGAGGGCTGCCAAGCCGGGCGGCGGCGGAGCCATGAGCCGGGATTATTCCGTTAACCTGTCGGTCCAGCAGGTGCTGAGCCTCTGGGTCCACGGCGCGAGCCTGCAGCACTTCACAGGTAGGGGGGGGACCGTGGGGGGGGTGGCGTCCATTTTAAACCATTAAATGATTTTGAAAGAAAGCTACCAGTAGGTGGCGGTAATGCACACCAATAAGTTGCTTGTCAACCGCCATTAAACAAGAAGAAAGAAAGAAGGAAAGTAAAAGAAAGCTGCGCTTTAAAGGGCCGGGGGGGGGCGAACCTCCTGCAGAACCTCCTGATCCGTTATGGCTGTTAGAGCCTCCCTTTGTCTCCAGGAAGAGATGAAAAGCTGCAGGTCAGATGAGGGCAGAAGATTCTCCATGGAGATCACTGAGCTGTCTGAGGTGTGAAGGGTTAAAAATCCCCGGAGATGATCTCCTGCCTTCAGTTTGCATCACATCTGCATGAAGCTGCTGCAGAACCATCAGTCATGTTCTGCTCTGCAGGAAGGCCAGCTCTGATGAGCTGCAGTCCTGTTTGGAGGCTTGGCTGCTGTGTCATTTAAACACACCAAACCAGGAGCGGATGTGTTCTCAGCTGCTGTGAGGAGAGGCACCTCAAAGTTTGCAATGCTGACTCAGCAGAAAGCTGCAGGGTGACAGAGGTTTATGGAGCTGCTGCAGAGCGGCGTGCATGGACCCTCAGACCTTCAGCTGCACAGATTAGCAGCAGCCAGGTGATAAAATCCTAACGAGCTCCTGACATATCAGATAGAGAGTTGGAGACGAGCAAGAAAAGCAGAAGCAGCTCATTAAGATCCGGGGCCCCTCTGGTTTTCCTCTCAGGGCCCCTGACAGCTTAAACTAATGCATTTCCTGTTTATGAGATCTGCGGCGCAGCAGTTTTACTTCAGCAAACCATGAAAAGAAGATAAAATACGTGCAGCTGCTGGTGTGCAAACAGACCCACACCGTGTGCGGTTACGCATCTGTTCACTCTACATCTAGGGAAGCAGATTTCACATAAAGACCAAACATGAGGTTAACTCAGCCGTGCTGTTTAAGACAAAACCAAACTTTGCTGAAATATAACTAGAAGTTTATAAGTAGAACACTTGAACTAAAATAATGTTAATTAAACTAAACCCCAACGGCTGAAATGTGGTTTTAATACAAACTATTTCAGTAATTGTATTTTTGACAAACAGAAAGGAAGACAAAGGAGGGAAGGATGGACAATTATTTAAAGATAAGTCAACAAGAAGAGGAAACAAAGTTTTGGGTTTTTAATTTAATCAGCAGCTTTTAACTAAATGCAGATTTAATATTTATAAACAGAATAAATCTAAATCTTTCAGGCTGTGACCCAGAAACCAGCAGAGACTCTGGAGTCATTCCTTCTGCTCACCCTCCATCCTGCAGAAGATCCAGAAACATCCTGGAGTTCCTCTTGGAGCTGCGGGATTAGAACCAGCAGCTCCACTAAATCAGAGGGTTTAGAAACATTTTCACAGGAAGTCTGGAAAAGGGAAAAATCGTTGGATTTCCATATTTTATAGCGTAGTACTTTGTCTAAAAGTTGGTTCCTTTCCTTCCTTGAAAACTTCCATCCTATTTCCCTCCTTTCATTAAGCTTTTCTTTCCTCCTCCTTCCTGTCTGTTTCCTCTTCTTGACTTATATTTTAATAATTTTCCTTCCTTCCTTCACACCTTTGTCTTCCTTCCTTCCTTCCTTCACGCCTTTTTCTGCCTTCCCTCCTTCCTTCCTTCCTTCCTTCCTTCACACCTTTGTCTTCCTTCCTTCTTCCTTCCTGCCTTCACACCTTTGTCTTCCTTCCTTCCTTCCTTCACGCCTTTTTCTGCCTTCCCTCCTTCCTTCCTTCCTTCCTTCCTTCACACCTTTGTCTTCCTTCCTTCCTTCTTCCTTCCTTCCTTCACACCTTTGTCTTCCTTCCTTCCTTCACGCCTTTTTCTGCCTTCCCTCCTTCCTTCCTTCCTTCCTTCCTTCACACCTTTGTCTTCCTTCCTTCTTCCTTCCTTCCTTCACGCCTTTGTCTTCCTTCCTTCCTTCCTTCCTTCCTTAACGCCTTTTCCTTCCTTCCTTCCTTCCTTCCTTCCTTCCTTCCTTCCTTCCTTCCTTCCTTCCTTCCTTCCTTCCTTCCTTCCTTCCTTCACACCTTTGTCTTCCTTCCTTCTTCCTTCCTTCCTTCACGCCTTTTTCTGCCTTCCCTCCTTCCTTCCTTCCTTCCTTCACACCTTTGTCTTCCTTCTTCCTTCCTTCCTTCCTTCACACCTTTGTCTTCCTTCCTTCTTCCTTCCTTCCTTCCTTCCTTCCTTAACGCCTTTTCCTTCCTTCCTTCCTTCCTTCCTTCCTTCCTTCCTTCCTTCCTTCCTTCCTTCCTTCCTTCCTTCCTTCCTTCCTTCCTTCCTTCCTTCCTTCCCGCCTTCATGCCTTTTCCTTCCTTCCTTCCTTCACGCCTTTGTCTTCCTTCCTTCCCTCCTTCCTTCCTTCCCGCCTTCATGCCTCTTCCTTCCTTCCTTCCTTCCTTCCTTCCTTCCTTCCTTCCTTCCTTCCTTCCTTCCTTCCTTCCTTCCTTCCTTCCTTCCTTCCTTCCTTCCTTCCTTCCTTCCTTCCTTCTTTCACGCCTTTGTCTTCCTTCCTTCCTTCCTTCCTTCACGCCTTTGTCTTCCTTCCTTCCTTCCTTCTTTCACGCCTTTGTCTTGCTTCCTTCCTTCAAGCCTTAGTCTTCCTTCCTTCCTTCTTTCACGCCTTTGTCTTCCTTCCTTCCTTCCTTCCTTCCTTCCTTCACGCCTTTGTCTTCCTTCCTTCCTTCCTTCCTTCCCTCACGCCTTTGTCTTCCTTCCTTCCTTCCCTCACACCTTTGCCTTCCTTCCTTCCTTCCTTCCTTCCTTCCTTCCTTCCTTCCTTCCTTCCTTCCTTCCTTCCTTCCTTCCTTCCTTCACGCCTTTTTCTGCCTTCCTTCCTTCCTTCCTCCCTTCCTTCTTTCCTTCCTTCCTTCCTTCCTTCCTTCCTTCCTTCACGCCTTTGTCTTCCTTCCTTCACGCCTTTTCCTTCCTTCCTTCCTTCCTTCCTTCCTTCCTTCCTTCCTTCCTTCCTTCCTTCCTTCACGCCTTTGTCTTCCTTCCTTCCTTCCTTCCTTCCCTCACACCTTTGCCTTCCTTCCTTCCTTCCTTCACGCCTTTTTCTGCCTTCCTTCCTTCCTTCCTTCCTTCCTTCCTTCCTTCCTTCCTTCCTTCCTTCCTTCCTTCCTTCCTTCCTTCCTTCCTTCCTTCCTTCCTTCCTTCCTTCCTTCCTTCACGCCTTTTTCTGCCTTCCTTCCTTCCTTCCTCCCTTCCTTCTTTCCTTCCTTCCTTCCTTCCTTCCTTCCTTCACGCCTTTGTCTTCCTTCCTTCACGCCTTTTCCTTCCTTCCTTCCTTCCTTCCTTCCTTCCTTCCTTCCTTCCTTCCTTCCTTCCTTCCTTCCTTCCTTCCTTCCTTCCTTCCTTCACGCCTTTGTCTTCCTTCCTTCCTTCCTTCCTTCCCTCACACCTTTGCCTTCCTTCCTTCCTTCCTTCACGCCTTTTTCTGCCTTCCTTCCTTCCTTCCTTCCTTCCTTCCTTCCTTCCTTCCTTCCTTCCTTCCTTCCTTCCTTCCTTCCTCCCTCCCTCCGTCCCTCCCTCCCTCCCTCCCTCCCTCCTCCTCCACTCCTCTGGCGTGCTGATGGTTCTCGGACCTGCGGCTCTAAGGTATTAATGGCGTCCTCTCTCCCTCCCCCCCTTTAGAGATGTGGTACTGGGTTTTCCTGTGGTGTCTCTTCTCCTCGCTCTTCATCCACGGCGTCGGCAGCCTGCTGATGTTGGTCATGCTGCAGCGCCACAAGTGGGGGCGTCTCATCACCATGGTGCTGGTCAGCGTGGGCTTCCTGGCCTCCCTCTCTGGAGGCGTCATCACCAGTAAGTTCGGGGGGTTGGTGGTCATCAGTGATCTGAAAGGCAGCAGCAGATCTACAGCAGATGTTTTCATGGCCTAGTCAAAGTCCAGTGGCCTCATTTTTACAAAATACCTTCAGTTTAATGTTTAACTGAAAATGTTTTAACGATGAATGCTTGAAAAGTGGCTTAATCCACAGTAAGTGTCTGGTTCCCCAATGAAGAGAAAAACAGCAAAACGAATGAAATAAAATGAAATGTGGCTCTAAGTCAGTAAATTCAAAGAAGCTGTGAGGAGTTCATAAACGGTTATTATTAACGAATGGCAAAAACGTTTTTTGATATCTGAGAACACTCCATAGCAACCGCCTTAGCAACCAAATGCTTGAATTGTGGCCACAAAACCAGTGACGTCACACCGGGACATCGGTCTCATCTGGCAGAAGACAATGAGACCAATGGAATTTTTTAACACCATTACATCTGCAAAGAGACGTCCTAGTCTAGATTTGCATTGGGGGCCCACCAAGTGTCAGTGACGAGGCCCCTAAGAGGTTGTGAGCCCATAAGCAACTGCTGTCTCTGCTTACCGATATTTACGCCACAGCGACTACGTCTGCTAAACGCGGCACTAAATAATTGCAGTAAACGGGTCAGATCTAGGTTCTGAACTCTACGGGTGCCAGAGGATACAGGTTGGAAAAATCAGACCTGTGCCACAAAATAGATGTTTTCATTTAAAGGAACAGTCCGGTCAGCAAGAAATAATCAATGGATTATTATTCATACCTAAAACTAATACGTTTGCTGTGATTTAAGGAATTTAGCATTAATCAGTAAAAAAACACATAATAATCATTTGTGTGACGTCACGGTGCGGTAAGCCTAGCGCCATTCTCCCCGCTTTCCAAGCTAAATCAATGGGAACTACTAGACACATCTGCAATCAACAACAATTATTGAAGATTTCCAGAGGACTTCACCATTGAAATTCACCAGAGCTATAGTGAAACTGACAATGCCCACGTGCATGGCAGCTGGATGCTGGAATACATCGGGTAAAAGTGAAAAAAAAGAGTTATTCCACCTTTCTGATTCCTGATCCTCCACGGACGGGTTGGTCGTTGGATCGCCAACTTGAAGAGGGAGGATTTGCCATCGAACTTCTGGCCAGAGAAAAAACCCGTAATATGTAGCCAACATTTGGAAGAAGAATGTTTTCAAGATGACTTGGATAATAGAGCGTTGTGACAAACACCAGATACAGCACTGGGACTTGATCAACAGCCGATACCGCACCGTGACGTCACTAACCAGTAGGTGGCAGTAGTGTTCTTTGACAAACATGGATGCCTCCAGTAAAGCACATTCACATGAAAATTACTCTGAATTAAAAACACTGATCATTTATTGAACAGGATGGAATCATTTCAGATTTAAAGAACTTTCAGAAGTTTGAATTCTGAATATGAGCGACTTTTCCTCAGCTGGACAATGAAGAAACATTTTATCCCTATTTATTTATCGCCGTAGAGACGCTTTTATTCTAACAAGAAGAAGAAGGTGTTAAATCAGCAGATTGGATCCACACTTGTAAGATTAGATGATTCATCAGATGGAGAAAAGCACGTCTATAAATAGCTGCTTAATTGTGTGAGAAATGGCAGCTTTTAGCGTTTGTAGCACATTTTAGTGGCAAGACAATTTAAAGTACTGAACATGAGGAGAAAAGAAAATGCTTTGCTGATGATTAAAGAGAATAGAAATGGACAATTAAAATAAGAGAAATGTGTAAAAAATTTAAAATGATAGAAACAGGAAAGTTGGGCTGAAAACTGAACTAATAATGTTTAGATCTCAGGTTATTAATCTGGATTTAAACTGATGGATTTTAGCAGCATTCTGGATCAGCTGCAGGTCTGTTTGGACCTTTCTGAACATGTGCAGCAAATGGACTGATCCAATATGGTGGACACTGAAGGGGGGGGGCTGAGACACACTTAATATTATCAGCGTTCTGATGGCATTTTAGACAAAGGATTTTTATCAAAAATATAATTAATGTGCACAACATTAATGGGGCCCCCATGAACTTGGGGCCTAGTGTTGCCTAATGTTTTCAAACTCCTGCTGATACTTTAGTTCTTTAGTCCTGCAGATGTTCTGTAGGTGATAAAAGGCCGATTTTGTTCCTGCTTGTATGTCCGCACATAAATGCTAATTGAATCAAAGGATAGCAGAGGAACCAACTATGGAGGAGGTGAGAGGCTGTGCGTCAATCAGTTACTGGGAAGATCTAAGCGACCGTTTTAGGGACATAAAAGTTATGTTAAAGTTTATGTTTATATTATATTTACTTCCTGTTTGTCATCTAGTTTGGAATCAGTTGCCTTAGATACGAAAAGCAGCTGTAAAGGCGTCCCCGTCCAGGAAACACACAGCCAGGCAGACGAGCTCCGAGCCAGCTCCCATGTCAGAGGATGAAGAGAGCACATCCAGTTAGTCACAGTCAGAGAAACAGGACTACACTGGAAAACAGGCCAAGCTCCAACATCTAGATACAAAGGTGTTGATGGCAGCAGCACAGCTGATATTTCTCTCCAGGATGGAGTCACAGCCAAACAGGAACAGACCAGATGAAGCTACTATGAGAAAAAGCAGAGAGAGCAGAACGTTAGAGATTGAACTAACAGATTCTGGGAGAAGTAAAAAGGGGTCCCTATGTCCTCCAGCAGTCTAAGCCTATAGCAGCAGAACTATAGAGATAGCTCAGGATAACCTGAGCCACTCTAACTAGAAGCTTTATCAAAAAGGAAAGTTTTAAGCCTAGCCTTAAAAGTAGACAGGGTGTCTGCCTCACGGACTAAAACTGGTAGTTGGTTCCACAGGAGAGGAGCCTGAGAACTAAAAGATCTGCCTCCCATTCTACTTTTAGAAATTCTAGGAACCACTAGTAATCTCCATTCAGAGACTACAAAGGTAGAGCATCAACTGGGAGTGTTTATATAAACCCAATCTAAACAAGCAGAAATGTAAAAAAAAAACTGACCGAATTGTTTGTGTAATTCCATTTATTACCATAAGGTGGAGATAAAGTACTATTTTCCAGCATTTTTTTTTTTTTTCTTTTTCTCAGAGCTTTTCTTTTTGAAGGTTCATCTCAAGCGCTTTATTTCCTCACCTTCCCTCAGGGATCGGTGTGTGAGTCACAGCATCAGCCCAGAATAGACGGATACTTTATTATTAATGTGCAGCAGTGGGGGGAGGGGGATGAAGGAAATGTCACTGAGTGCAGCGAAAATGTCAAACTGCAAAAACCTCTAAACTGTTTTCATCAGATAACAAAGGTTGGATCAGTTGTGCTGCTCTCCAGCTTCCATTTTTAAGGCCTGATTGATTAACGAACTTAATCATGATGCCAGACAAGCCACTATTTTACTTCATTTAAAAAGATTAACGATACAAACACATGTGGATTAACATAAATAAAACAGCACTTTACACACAAACACGTATGATATATGAAATCATATGATTCCAACTGGAACATATTGAAGCTAAAGTGGAGGATGTTGTTTTTCTGGGTGGATCATCTACGTTAGTGATTTAAATAAAAAAAAATGTTCCAATGGTTAGAGGACCATGGCAACTACCGGACCTCGGAGGCTAGCAGCAGCCAGGGCTAACGTTAGCCCGTCTGCAGCAGCCAGGGCTAATGTCAGCCCATCTGCAGCAGTCAGGGCTAACGTTAGCTCGTCGTCTGCAGCAGCCAGGGCTAACGTTAGCCCGTCTGCAGCAGCCAGGGATAGCGTTAGCTCGTCGTCTGCAGCAGCCAGGGCTAACGTTAGCCTGTCTGGAGCAGCCAGGGCTAACGTTAGCCCGTCTGCAGAAGCCAGGGATAGCGTTAGCTCGTCGTCTGCAGCAGCCAGGGCTAACGTTAGCCTGTCTGGAGCAGCCAGGGCTAATGTTAGCCCGTCTGCAGCAGCCAGGGATAACGTTAGCCCGTCTGCAGCAGCCAGGGATAACGTTAGCTCGTCGTCTGCAGCAGCCAGGGCTAACATTAGCCTGTCTGGAGCAGCCAGGGCTAACGCTAGCCCGTCTGCAGTAGCCAGGGATAACGTTAGCCCATCTACAGCAGCCAGGGATAACGTTAGCTCGTCTGCAGCAGCCAGGGATAACGTTAGCTCGTCTGCAGCAGCCAGGGCTAATGTTAGCCATTCTGGAGCAGCCAGGGCTAACTTTAGCACATTTGCAGCAGCCAGGGCTAATGTTAGCCCATCTGCAGCAGCCAGGGCTAACATTAGCACATTTGCAGCAGCCAGGGCTAACATTAGCACATTTGCAGCAGCCAGGGTTAACGTTAGCCCATCTGCAGCAGCCAGTGCTAAGGTTAGCCCATCTGTACCAGCCAGGGCTAATGTTAGCCCGTCTGCAGCAGCCAGGGCTAGCATTAGCTCATCTGCTGCAGCCAGGGCTAACATTAGCTCATCTGCTGCAGCCAGGGCTAACATTAGCCTGTCTGGAGAAGCCAGGGCTAACGCTAGCCCGTCTGCAGCAGCCAGGGATAACGTTAGCTCGTCTGCAGCAGCCAGGGATAACGTTAGCCTGTCTGGAGCAGCCAGGGCTAACGTTAGCCTGTCTGGAGCAGCCAGGGCTAACGTTAGCCTGTCTGCAGCAGCCAGGGATAACGTTAGCTCGTCGTCTGCAGCAGCCAGGGATAACGTTAGCTCGTCGTCTGCAGCAGCCAGGGCTAACATTAGCCTGTCTGGAGCAGCCAGGGCTAACGCTAGCCCGTCTGCAGTAGCCAGGGATAACGTTAGCCCATCTACAGCAGCCAGGGATAACGTTAGCTCGTCTGCAGCAGCCAGGGATAACGTTAGCTCGTCGTCTGCAGCAGCCAGGGCTAACGTTAGCCTGTCTGGAGCAGCCAGGGCTAACTTTAGCACATTTGCAGAAGCCAGGGCTAATGTTAGCCCATCTGCAGCAGCCAGGGCTAACATTAGCACATTTGCAGCAGCCAGGGCTAACATTAGCACATTTGCAGCAGCCAGGGTTAACGTTAGCCCATCTGCAGCAGCCAGTGCTAAGGTTAGCCCATCTGTAGCAGCCAGGGCTAATGTTAGCCCGTCTGCAGCAGCCAGGGCTAGCATTAGCTCATCTGCTGCAGCCAGGGCTAACATTAGCTCATCTGCTGCAGCCAGGGCTAACATTAGCCTGTCTGGAGCAGCCAGGGCTAACGCTAGCCCGTCTGCAGCAGCCAGGGATTACGTTAGCTCGTCTGCAGAAGCCAGGGATAACGTTAGCCTGTCTGGAGCAGCCAGGGCTAACGTTAGCCTGTCTGCAGCAGCCAGGGATAACGTTAGCTCGTCGTCTGCAGCAGCCAGGGATAACGTTAGCTCGTCGTCTGCAGCAGCCAGGGATAACGTTAGCTCGTCGTCTGCAGCAGCCAGGGCTAACGTTAGCCTGTCTGGAGCAGCCAGGGCTAACTTTAGCACATTTGCAGCAGCCAGGGCTAACGTTAGCCCATCTGCAGCAGCCAGGGCTAACATTAGCACATTTGCAGCAGCCAGGGCTAACATTAGCACATTTGCAGCAGCCAGGGCTAACATTAGCACATTTGCAGCAGCCAGGGTTAACGTTAGCCCATCTGCAGCAGCCAGTGCTAAGGTTAGACCATCTGTAGCAGCCAGGGCTAATGTTAGCCCGTCTGCAGCAGCCAGGGCTAATGTTAGCCCGTCTGCAGCAGCCAGGGCTAATGTTAGCCCGTCTGCAGCAGCCAGGGCTAATGTTAGCCCGTCTGCAGCAGCCAGGGCTAGCATTAGCTCATCTGCTGCAGCCAGGGCTAACATTAGCAAATTTGCAGCAGCCAATGCCAACGTTAGCCCGTCTGCAGCAGCCAGGGCTAACGTTAGCCCGTCTGAAGCAGCCAGGGATAACGTTAGCTCGTCTGCAGCAGCCAGGGCTAAAGTTAGCTCGTCAGCAGCAGCCAGGGCTAACATTAGCAAATTTGCAGCAGCCAATGCTAACGTTAGCCCGTCTGCAGCAGCCAGGGCTAACGTTAGCCCGTCTGCAGCAGCCAGGGCTAACGTTAGCCCGTCTGCAGCAGCCAGGGATAACGTTAGCTCGTCTGCAGCAGCCAGGGCTAACGTTAGCCCGTCTGCAGCAGCCAGGGCTAACATTAGCAAATTTGCAGCAGCCAATGCTAACGTTAGCCCGTCTGCAGCAGCCAGGGATAACGTTAGCTCGTCTGCAGCAGCCAGGGATAACGTTAGATCGTCGTCTGCAGCAGCCAGGGCTAACGTTAGCCCGTCTGCAGTAGCCAGGGCTAACGTTAGCTCGTCTGCAGCAGCCAGGGCTAACGTTAGCCCGTCTGTAGCAGCCAGAGCTAACGTTAGCCCGTCTGTAGCAGCCAGGGCTAACGTTAGCTCGTCTGCAGCAGCCAGGGCTAACGTTAGCCCGTCTGTAGCAGCCAGTGCTAACGTTAGCCCATCTGCAGCAGTCGGAAAGCATTTTTGTTTATTCAGTCAATATTTAGAACAGCTGTAAGAATAAATATCAATTAGCATATTAGCGTAGCATTATGGAATGATCCTCTTCACATCAGAAAACTGGTATTTAATAAAATGTTTGCTTTTAAATTCATCCTTTGTCGGTCATAAGATCCATCAACATCTCAAAGGAAAATTGAGTGGAAGGACGAAGCATGTTATTGAGGGCTTTGACTGTATTTTTACTTCACTTAGATGCAGGTTTGATTTTTCATCCTGAGCGAATGTCGGAGTTTGTTGGTCTAAGTTGATCTCTCTGACTCTGTGTTCTGCTGCAGGCGCGGCAGTGGCGGGCGTTTACCGCGTGGCGGGGAAGGACATGGCTCCGCTGGAGGCCCTGGTGTTCGGAGTGGGTCAGACCACCCTGTCAGTCGTTATCTCCTTCTCTCGCATCCTGGCCACCCTGTGAGGAAGACTTTTAGCGGGATGAAGGACGGATGCAGACGGAGGAGAGGTCCAGCAGGGACTCGGATGCAGGAGACGGCGCCCTCTACTGATTCTGGAGTACTAATGCAGCTGTCTGCGGTTGATTTGAAAGCCTGAGATTCTAGAACTTCATCTGTTCCCGGAGCCATAATCCTGCCGCTGCCGCCGCCTCTCTGCTGCAGGAGGAATCCCTGTCGACCTGAGATGTTCACAGAAGGAAGAACCAACAGTCATCGCCGCCACGCTGGTGGAGCTTCACAGCTTCAGCCTCCAGCTCAGAGGAAGAAAGTTTGGAGTTCAGCACTTTGTGAGGAAGAGGAGCAGAAAACCAGCAAACATTTGATCAGATGCGTGAAGATTCCTGATGTTCCAGCAGGAGATCAGACGTCTGAGCTGCTTCTGGACTAAAAGCAGCTCGGTCGGCGTTGGAGGAGGAGCTTTCTCCAGGAAACGATCGTCTCTTTTCTCCAGTAGAGTTTAAGAATGACTGAAGCAAACCAGAGTCAGCACATAGATGTAGGAGAATAGACGCTGCGCCGGCTTCACCCCTCTGTGGAACCGACGCATCAGAAGGTCGGCCATGTTGTGGGGTGCAGGTCTGCTCAGACGTCGGCTTTAAATGAACGGTAAAGATCTTCCAGTTATGGTCGAAAACCTTTGGTTTAAATCGAGGGCTGAAGTCGATCCCTTCAATCATAATAACACTGATGGTGTCATAATCATTTTATTGTTTATTAATTAATGTCAGATCGGATTCCATTAAAGTTTTCCTGCAGTCTGCAAAAAATCAGAACAACAAACCCAACAAAAGCTGCGACGACTCGGTGGTTTAGATCTGAGATCGTTCAGAAATCCTTAAATTCAGTCTTTAGTGTCTGGCAGCGTCTAGCATCTCATCCTGCATCTTGTCCGCCGTCACCTGAGTGAAGTTGGCCCCCCCACCTTCTTCAAATCAGACAAAATTAGTGTCAAACGTTTGTGCAGCAAAAATTTTAATTTGTGCCGCTGTCATTTTAAAGATATAGATATATAGATATAACCAGCCCTTTAACTGACCTTTGATGACCTCTACAAAATATTATTAATATCATATTGAAATGTATGAAGGTAGATTTGTTTCTTTATTATTCAATCAAAAAAGAAGTTGCTTCAAACAAACAAACAAGAGAAACATTTTTTTTTTTTCATTGAAGTGAAGATTTTTTAATTGAAAATAAATTTTTAGATTGAAGCAACAGTTTTTTTGATTGAATAATAAAGAAACAAATCTACCTTCATAAAACTTCAGCTGATCTTCTCTGATTCTCAGGTCAGAACCAGAAAAGATCTGAAACTGGATCAGAACCAAAGTATTTTTTAAGGGTTTGCACTAGAGCTGCAACTAACGATTACTTTATAAATTGATTAATCTGTTGATTATTTTTTAAAATTAATAATCATATTTAGGTTCCCTAAAGAAGATTTTTTTTTTTTTTGTCAAATTAAAGGAGAAACTAGAACTTTTCCACTAGAGGAGTTCTGGATAGAGCAGATTGGCAGATGAAAATTTTTTTTCATTTAAAATGCAAAATATTTACATGAATCAGAAACATGGGCGGTTCTAGACGGGGGCCAGTGCCCCACTGTAGACATAAGACTCAAAGAAATTCTAATGATGATCTATGCTGGGACAGACATGGTTACTGATGGGTCCTTTGGATCTATTTCATTGTTTTCTTTACAAATTCTGTTTTACTGATTATTTAAAAACAATAAGGTGATAGCTTCAGTGGTGCTAAGATAGGATCCCAGTTTTCATCTGCTAAATGTTGTTTTCAAAACAAATTGCTCAGATTTGGTAGAAAACGGTCTTTTTAACTTAAGTCGAAAATATGTAAAATTCGTAAATTCTGAGTGTATATTGACCTCATAAGACATAGAATTTTGATTAAATCAGCCAATTAATGCTAACCTGACTCCACCAGATGGATTTGCTCCGCATATCCATCTGGAAACCTTCCATTGAAGTAATTTTGGGAAGGGGCGAAAATACTGGTTAGCTGATTGGCCTATGTTGGTGATAGACGGGCCAAATAAACCAATCAGATCAACGAAGCATATGACGTACTAACAGAGCGACGACGAAAACACAACCACAAGCCAGGCTACTCTTGCCGAAACCAGTCGGGAGAAGAGCAAAAACATCTTTTCCTCTGAGAAAAGCCTCCAGAGCCGTGTTTTGCTCTTCTTTCAGAGAAGAAATACTCTGTAATTCCGATAAAACTTGCTCGATAGCCACGCTAACGCTAGTTTCATCGGCTGAAGCCGCCATGTTCTTTAGACTGAACTGTCGCGCTTCTCGTTGCGTCACACCTCAACCCGCCTCAAAGCCAACGCTGATTGGACGTTCCTTTGGTGAACGGCTCCAAATGTTCTTTAACGGAGTCTCCAGACTGATCTGCGAGTGAAACCTTGAAAGCTCGCGAGATCAGGATGGTCTCACCAGGCTACATTAATGCAGCTTTCTTAATATTTTCGAATCCCCTGTTCTGTTTTTTATTTCATACATTTGGTCTAGAACCACCACAAGCTGCCATGCACGTGGGCATTGTCAGTTTCACTATAGCTCTGGTGAATTTCAATGGTGAAGTCCTCTGGAAATCTTCAATAATTGTTGTTGATTGCAGATGTGTCTAGTAGTTGCCATTGATTTAGCTTGGAAAGCGGGGAGAATGGCGCTAGGCTTACCGCACCGTGACGTCACTGCTGGAAGATGGCAGGAGGGAGGGGCTACTATATCAGGGCAAAAATGGCCGCTCCCAGACTATTTTATTTTTTCATTATATTCATTAAATCACTGCCAAGGTATCAATTTTAGGTATAAATAATGATCCATTGTCCGAACTTTTCCTTTCCTTCCAGATCCTAAATCTGTTGGATTTGGGGGAAAAAAGATGTCAGGAGGTTCGAGGTGTTTGGAAAAATGTTCCAATCAGCTCCAGACTAAAATGGAATCCAGGTCAGTTTGATCCAAGCAGCAGAAGCCAGATCAGCGCTGAGGAACCTTTGGAACCTTTGGAAGCACAAACCTGAGCGCATTTTATCTGGATTTTATCCGATCATGAAGTTACGCGTAGTTTTCATGACGTTTTGATGGGTTCTTGGGTTTAACTCCATCAAACTTGACCAGCTTCTGTGACAGCATGATGCTGCCACCACCGAGTGTGAGGATGTTTTCTGTGTAGCAGGATGGTTCCGTTTCTGGTCTCCTTTTCCCAGGCTGGCTGTCCCTCCTAATTGGAACAAACTCCAAACAGGAATCTTCTCTCTATCTTCTTGCTGCTCTTTCATGAGGAGAACATTTGGACCGGTAGTTCCCCCTGATCAGCGGATCCCTGCAGCTCCTCCAGAGTCACTCAATCTAAACAGCTTCATTTCTTCTCAGTTTAATTCGAAGACATCCGGACTTTAATTAGGTGACTTGTGTTCATTATTTAGGGGTATCAGACTAAAAGGGGCTGAAAATGTTCACCTCACGGATGTTTTTTTCCCAGAGGAACTTTAAAAAGTTTCATTTATTTTAGATTTATGATCTGCTTGTTGGTTTATCACTGGAAATTGAAGTTTTATGGTTTTAAAAGGTAGAATGTTGGAGTTTCTAAACGGAGTCTGATAGCAGAACCACGGCGTTCGGATCCTGCCTGGTCACAGAAACAGGAAGTAGACTGAGACGATCCTCGCCGGTCGGTTGTTAACCCTTTAAGCTCCTCTGAGTTTATTCTGCCGTTTTTTTGGGCCTGATGACGCATGAGGAGTTTATTCCTCTCGGATGTTTTCCTGTACAGGAATCTTTCCGTCGGGTCAAATGCCAAAGTTTCCCGTAGATCAAAGCTTTATTCATCAGATTTATTTTTTCTCCACAATCTTTTTGTTTTGTTCTTTTTCTGAAACATTTGCACCTTTCAGACGTTTGTTCTGAATCTAATCTCTGTGCCATGTGTGTGTGTGTGTGTGTGTGCTCTGCATTATGTAACGGACCTGCAGTACCAGCTCAGTGCACAGGGGGGCAGTGCTCCCCTGCAGAGAGAGCAGCAGTGGTTTTGGATCAGAACTTTCTGAATGTTTGAACCAGCATGGCTGCTCGGACGGTTCCGTTTCCAGGAACCCAATCATGACGATGCTGCTGATTGACCCGCTGACCCGTCTGAGGCAGAAACTGACTCCAAAGCTGGTTCCGAAGGTCCAAATCAGCTTGGAATGGTTGTACAAACGATTCAACGTGTGCAAAGCGTGTAAATGCTGTAAGATACACCCTTTTTTAATTTTATACCAACCAGACCGTTGATATTTATAACTACTGCCTATTTATGTACAAACTCTTCTCCTGTGCTGTAAATATTCTACAGTCAGATGAAATAAAACTTTTTGCAATATGAAATATATGAATAATAACTCTGCTTCTCTTGGTCTTTCTTCTGATTGTTTAATATTTAGCTCTAATCATTTTTTCAAAGCAGCACTAAGTAACTTTTATACTAATATATCCTTTAAACTCTTTATGGAGTGACTTTTGTTCCATTGTTGTTGGAAAGAAAAGAAAAAAATAATTGTGCATTTGGAAAGAAAATCAATGCAGGAATGACTATTTCTTTTTTTTTTTACTCTTCAGCAATCCCTCGCTCTAAACATGCTTGTAGCGACAGTGGAGAGGAAAAACTCCCTTTGAACAGGAAGAAACCTCCAGCAGAACCAGGCTCAGTGTGAGCGGCCATCTGCTGAGGCCCACTGGGGTTCAAGGAGACAGAAGCAGACATAGAAAAAGAAGCATAGATACAAAAGGCAACTGTCAACCAGCTCCACAGGCGGCCCCGTCCAGGAAACACACAGCCAGGCAGACGAGCTCCGAGCCAGCTCCCATGTCAGAGGATGAAGAGAGCACATCCAGTTAGTCACAGTCAGAGAAACAGGACTACACTGGAAAACAGGCCAAGCTCCAACATCTAGAAACAAAGGTGTTGATGGCAGCAGCACAGCTGATATTTCTCTCCAGGATGGAGTCACAGCCAAACAGGAACAGACCAGATGAAGCTACTATGAGAAAAAGCAGAGAGAGCAGAATGTTAGAGATTGAACTAACAGATTCTGCAGAGTGGGAGAATAGAGATAGAATGAAGCAGAATGATGAAAAAGGGGTCCCTATGTCCTCCAGCAGTCTAAGCCTATAGCAGCAGAACTATAGAGATAGCTCAGGATAACCTGAGCCACTCTAACTAGAAGCTTTATCAATAACTGTATTTATAGATCCCATTCTCTTCACCTCCCTTCAGGGAGTAGCGAGGAAGCATTTCTTTTGGTTTAGCCTCAACATTCGTATTTAATTTGAAGGGAAGAGAATATAACCTGGAAAATGCATTTTAAAAACTGCTATTCATACAACTCAGAGTTTTGAAAATATACAATTTGAAATGTGCAGGTGAAGATTCTCAGTCATCCAGGTCGTACTCATTCCAAAAGAGAAAAACAATCCACTGGATTTTGTTTCCAAGTTTAAAGACGTTTCGCTTCCCATCCAGGAAGCTTTTTCATTTTAAAATGTCAGAAAGAGCGTTGAGTTGCAGGTTTTATAGCAGGGGAAAAGAAATTAAAGATCAGCGGAGTCCAAATCCGAAAATCATCAACCAGTAAAGGTCTGGAGACATTGTTAATTATAATCTGTTATTTTAAACAGAATTCAACACTGAAATAAAATTAGGTTTTTATGCATCCATGTTATACACTGAATTTAAAAAAATATATAGGCTTTATCATTTTTCCATTTTAAAATCTAAAGTGTTTTTTGAAGTAGAGAACAACAATCGTACAGTTTAGTTTAAAGATAATTTCCAGATTCCCATATTTTCTCAAACCCCTGAACTGATGGTTTTTTATTTTCTTTCTTTTTTCTGTCTTAATGTTGGCAGTGGGCTTTAGGCTGCCCTGCAAGGCTTTAAACCTGGGTTTAACCGGAGACTAAGCCATTCTCAAGCACATATCAAGGAGCTCATTTTGAGCCTGGATCCAGATTTATTGTTGATTCTGTTCATGGTGGAGAATCCTGCTTCACAGCAGCAGGTTGAGCCAAACATCCTCTAAATGTGCAGGGTCATCTTTGAGCACGCCATTTCACTTTTCTTTCACCAGTTCACCGCAGTTCTTCCAGCAGTCCACACTTTCTCTGCTCTCTTTTTCTCATGGTCTTCTCCTTCTTTCCCATCGCCCGGCTTGCCACAGGTTTGCCTGCTGTGTCTAAAAGTAGCAGCAGCAGCAACCCAGACTGACAGCTCATTGGCTCATTTGGATCACGTGCAGCCTGGAGCCGGACGCTCCGGAGGGCTTTACCGTATTAACAGGAGAAGAGGCGCAAGTGAAGTTAGACACTGTCGTCGGATAACATGCAGTAATTTATAAAGGTTTTAAATCAGGTTGGGTCCTGATTAGCCAGCAGGTGGGTCCTGATCCGGACCGCGGTCCGCTAATCCGTAACCTCTGCTTTATAGTGGACCAAAAGAAACGACAGAGGATTTTTCTTAAATAAAGCGAAATCTTCACTTTGATTTTAACAAAGTGAAATTCTCACCTAAAAAAAACATCTTTAAAGTTTCTTTTGGGTCATAGAAAGCATAATATAGGCCTATCATCTTTTAATCACCATTATTGTCAGAGCTCGACCAATCCGCTTTGAGTAGCAATGAATCATGGGAAAATGAGAAATGTTGGAAGTTTTATCTGCTCTTGGTCAAGATAGCAGTGAAAATAAAAAATGAAAGCTCTGTTATTTTCATTTTTCTGAGACCAAAGAGCTGATCGGCAGCAGTAACTGCTTCTCATATCTGATCTGACATTTGGTCCCGGATGACCTTTGGTTTTGGGCCTGAATGATCCGCCCCGGGTTTTATTCCTGTCCTCTGCAGGGATAATGCTGGACGGAAGGCAGGACCCTGAAAAACAGAAAGAGGAAAACAGGTCGGCATTTATCAGCCTGTTTTTTGTTATTTTGTTCTTTAACGGTCGAGAACGCAGCATGTGAGCACAGCAGCTGTTCCAGCCAATCAGAGGCGCAGGCTGAGCCGTGCTGATAAGACGCCAGCGGGCCGGGACCGGGACAGGAAGCGTTTCATAAGAGGCCAGAGAATGTGGCGGAGGAATTTCTCCCTGTTTGATGGATGTTTGGTAAACTGCAGCCCAGAAACTGATATGTTTACCTTCTGAAGGGACATAAATCCCACCAAAGCATCGGCGGGGAAAACCTAACGAGATAAACCCAGGAGAAATCTGGGAATTCCTTCCAAAATCTGGAATGTTGTTTATCATAGTCTGAGGGTTTTTCTCACACATTGAAAGGCTGCAGTTCCTCAGAGACGCACTATAATCATAATAATAATTGAACTTTATTAATCTCACATTGGAGAAATTCACTCTCTACCCTCACACTACTGCCACCTACTGGTTAGTGACGTCACGGTGCGGTATCGGCTGTTGATCAAGTCCCAGTGCTGTATCTGGTGTTTGTCACAACGCGCTATTATCCAAGTCATCTTGAAAACATTCTTCTTCCAAATGTTGGCTACATATTACGGGTTTTTTCTCTGGCCAGAAGTTCGATGGCAAATCCTCCCTCTTCAAGTTGGCGATCCAACGACCAACCCGTCCGTGGAGGATCAGGAATCAGAAAGGTGGAATAACTCTTTTTTTTCCACTTTTACCCGATGTATTCCAGCATCCAGCTGCCATGCACGTGGGCATTGTCAGTTTCACTATAGCTCTGGTGAATTTCAATGGTGAAGTCCTCTGGAAATCTTCAATAATTGTTGTTGATTGCAGATGTGTCTAGTAGTTCCCATTGATTTAGCTTGGAAAGCGGGGAGAATGGCGCTAGGCTTACCGCACTGTGACGTCACACAAATTATTATTATTCAAACAAACAAACAACAGAATCCATTTTTTTTCATTGAAGTGAAGATTTTTTTAATTGAAAATATATTTTTTGAATGAATAGTAAAGAAACAAATCTACCTTCATAAAACTTCAGCTCATCTTCTCTGATTCTATGCTCTCAGGTCAGAACCAGAAAAGATCTGAAACTGGATCAGAACCAAAGTATTTAAGGGTTTGCACTAGAGCTGCAACGATTATTTTATAAATCGATTAATCTGTTGATTATTTTTAAGATTAATAATCATATTTAGGTTCCCTAAAGAAGATTTTTTTTACGAAATTAAAGGAAAAACTAGAACTTTTCAGCTAGAGGAGTTCTGAATAGAGCAGATTGAAAGATGAAAAATGTTTTTAATTTTAATTGCAAAATATTTACATGAATCAGAAACATGCGCGGTTCTAGACGGGGGCCAGTGCCCCACTGTAGACATAAAACTCAAAGATATTCTAATGATGATCTATGCTGGGACAGACATGGTTACTGATGGGTCCTTTGGATCTGTTTCATTTTTTTTCTTTACAAATTCTGTTTTACTGATTATTTAAAAACAATAAGGTGATAGCTTCAGTGGTGCTAAGATAGGATCCCAGTTTTTATTTGCTAAATGTTGTTTTCAAAACAAATTGCTCAGATTTTTACAGCTGAATTTATCAGTTTTTCTTGAGTTCTAATTCAGATTTGATAGAAAACCTCATAAGACATAGAATTTTAATTAAATCAACCAATTAATGCAGCTTTCTTAATATTTTTGAATCCCCTGTTCTGTGTTTTATTTCATACATTTGGTCTAGAACTACCTCCAGCTGCCATGCACGTGGGCACTGTCAGTTTCACTATAGCTCTGGTGAATTTCAATGGTGAAGTCCTCTGGAAATCTTCAATAATTGTTGTTGATTGCAGATGTGTCTAGTAGTTCCCATTGATTTAGCTTGTAAAGCGGGGAGAATGGCGCTAGGCTTACCGCACCGTGACGTCACTGCTGGAAGATGGCAGGAGGGAGGGGTTACTTTATTTGGGCAAAAATGGCCGCTCCCAGTCTCCTGTCTAATCCTTTCATGCTATCACCACAACCCCAACCGCTTTACAGGAGAACAGAAGACCTCGCCTATTCATCCAGGCCAACTATTCCCTTTAATGACCCCCTTTCAGAGACATAGACAGGTATGGGGCATTGCAGGCTAACAAAGAAGCCAAACGACCCCCATTCCAAAGGGGGGGACCCGTTCATCCGTTTCTATTTGCATGTTTTCTAAACTAAAACCAGGCTTTGTTGGGCTGCTGGATAAAACCTGGAACTAAACGCTATTTCTGACATTTGGAATTGGAAAATCTTCCTGGATGGAAGAGAAACGTCTTCAAATTTGGAAACAAAGTCCACAGGATTAATTTTTACTTTTTTTGGAATGACTATGACCTGGATGATGGAGAATCTTCACCGGCACAGAAAAAACAATCTAAAAATGAGTAAAAATATCTT